TCGTTCCAATAGTTGAATACAAAAGTCCAACTTACTTGGAAAGTTCGAACTTTCCGGAATCCCACCTGCACCGAGAGGAGTCCCTCAAATTACGGTTTGTTTCGATATTGACGCAAACGGTATTCTCAATGTCTCTGCCGAGGATAAAACAACTGGACAGAAGAACAAGATTACCATCACCAACGACAAGGGCAGACTTTCGAAGGACGAAATTGAAAAGATGGTCCAAGAGGCGGAGAAGTACAAATCAGAAGACGAAGAGCACAAGAAGAAGGTTGAGTCGAAGAATGCTCTTGAGAACTACGCCTACAACATGAGGAACACTGTCAAGGATGAAAAGATTGCTTCGAAGCTGAATGGTGATGACAGGAAGAAGATTGAGGAGGCTATTGAGGAGGCCATTCAGTGGCTCGACGGGAACCAGTTGGCTGAGGCAGACGAGTTTGATGACAAGATGAAGGAGCTTGAGGGTATTTGCAACCCTATTATTGCTAAGATGTATGCTGGTGGTGAAGCGCCTATGGATGATGATGTCGGTGCTCCTCCTAGCGGCAGTGGAGGCGCTGGCCCCAAGATTGAGGAGGTCGACTAAATTGTTGGTCGGAGTTATTATCCATAATGTTTTTCGTTTTTATTTTATTTTTATGTTAAAGACTGAATTCAATTTTTGAAGTGTGATTTTGGCTAGTATCTTAGTGTTACTTTTACTCAAGATCATATTATGATTGCCTTAGAACTCAGTTTCTTATTTCTATGGAATTTTTTGGCAGCTATTTCCTTGGTTGTATATTTCTGCATTTTATCCTTGGTTGTGAAATCTTGATTATCTGGATTCTGTTGACTACATACAGATGAATATCTTTATTCCCTTTTCCGCCTTTCCCCACCGTTTGATTATAAATCAATTTGCACGAAGCATACCAACTTTGACCGCCTTCCCCATCAAAAGTAAAGCAATGAAAATCTCAATGCATCAATCTAATCAAAATCCATATACTTATTATTTGATTGATTTAATAAACAAATCATATATACTTTATTTATTCATTGATTTAATCAAATAATGCACTTGTAACGCATCTTGTCACAGTGACTCCAACTAACTTGAATAATTTAGGAGAGTGGTACATGAACATGAACATTGACTCTAATTCTAATTATTTTCAATAAATGGATCCCACCCCACCCACCAAACCACAATCACACAAATATATAAATGGTGGCATTAAATAATGGCTCCTCTACAAATACGTACTATCCCATATCATTTATAACTTATATCAACCCTCCGATTCATCTTATTATTATAATTATTATCTATTATTTTCCAGATTCATCGAATAATTGAGATGTCACACCCACTGCACTAGTTGCGTTTCCAATACCAGTATAATATAGTCAACAACAACATAACGGGTCAACTTTGAAATTAATTACAAAACAAAACTTAAAAATTGCAGCCTTCATGTAAAATAAAGAAATTATCAAGATACATTTGAATTTTGTTCTATAAACTCGGTTGCACAAACTGCAGAATTATGGCTGTAAAATAGAGAGACTAAGCCTATAATATATAAGCAAATGCAACGGAAGACGAAATAAATAATATATGATAGGAAATCATAAAACAAAAAAGGAAGCCAATCTCCCAATAATTCCGATACAACTTCAATGCCACAATCAACCGATAAAAAGGCACTAAAAAAAACAACAACAACAACACAGTAATAGCCACTCTTCATCTGACCTAAGTAGTAGCATCCCATTTTCTTGATTTCTTTTTAGGTCAACATAAGATCATTAGCCCCATGATGTGGACGAAGACAAACACGAACCTCGTGTTCTTCCGGACCCTCCCGTAATTTTGGGACCAAAATCTCCAGCACTGTACCCTGCCCGTCATAATACGCTTCAATATTGGCATCTTCCGGAATACGGGTCGAAAGTGGTATCTCCCTAACAAATTCTCCGGGCGGGCAATGCTCTGTATTTGGATCCGTCAGCTTGAAAGTCCGGTTGTGCCTCTTGATAAACGGGGTTCGGGAAGTACTCAAACAAGACACTTTGATTATCCCATGCGTGAGTGTGTTTCTCCAAGAAACCTTCACCCGTTGAAGATCCACAAATGGCAAACTCATTACGATTAGATACCCTTCTTCATCTTCATAGATCGTTTTCGCAGCTGTAACGGGTCCGTAAATATTGTTCATTACTCCGCTAAACCCGTTTAGCCACTGGGGCCCGTTTTCTTGAACTTCAATATAACAATCGTCGCCATTGCCCTGTATGAAGAAATCCTTCTTTCTTTTGTTGTTGGTAATTGGTGAAAGATCTATTATTGCATGAGCAGCAGCATCTCCATTTGTGTGGTGAGCTGTCGACAAGTTGAGCACTGATCCATTCAGCAACTTCTTCGAGTGATTATTACTATTATTAATATTATTACTATTATTACTATTAGTAGTAGTAGTAGTAGGCTTCAATGGGGGCGGTGGCCTCTCGAGTTCGAATTCAGTGTTGGGCAAATTCCTCCACGAGCCAAAATCACTAGCTTCTTGGGGAATAGTGAAGTTGAGTTCTCTACCAGTTAACTCCATCCATCTCTTTCGATCGTCTTCATCGAGCCCTAATAGACTGGGTGAAAAGACGACTTCGACGCCGTGAACACACTGAGGATTGGACAGCCCCCTGTAATGTTTCCTCTGCATCCTGTGCGAACGGACAAACCCTTTATCCACACTAAACGGAAAAGGCCGTTCGCCTTGACGAGAATGCCCGTTCATGTAACTCCTGAGCTGCATCTTCCCAAGGGCGTTTTCGGGTTTTTCCTTGAAAACCCACATGTACATATTCTCCATATCGTGCTGCACCATGAAAGTGTCCAGCTGGAGATCCGATTTATCGAAACCGGATACTCCATTTCCGTCGCGTGTTATTTTCGCCTTCGATTTTTCGTTGAGCACCGGTTTGAAGTAGAAGCTGAAGAAGAACCAAGCTCCCCATATGCTGTCGACTCTCTTTGCGATTTTTTTACCGATTTTCGGCACTGTGAGAAAGCTCTCGGTTTCGTAAATCTGAGTGCTTAGTCCAACATCAAGAATGTCGCAGTGGTCGGAATTCCATGGCTGCTGTGGAGGTGGGCTCCGCTCGGCCGAGAGGGGCAGGTTGATATCGGGCGGGAGCGTTAGAACAACCTGGCGGTTCATTTCTAGGTCTAACTCTTCGTGCGCTGACGTAGCGCTCGAGTCCATGGATAGCAGGGTTGAAGGGTGGTGGTTCTCGAGTTTGAAAGTTGTTAGCAGAGCATCGGCCATTTCAAAGATTCTCTCTTTTTCGGAGGGCATTTTCTTTCGGTACGGGTCTTTTCACACCGACTACCATTTTGATGGAGAATCGATGTTCGTAAACACCTTCATTGTGTGTGTGTGTGTGTATGTGTATATGTCAATCCCAGATAGAATCTCCCACCTCAATCGAAAAAACCGTAAATCTATCCATTTTAAACTTACCCAATTAAGAGAAAACCGAAATCGAAAAAAGGATCTTAACCCCTAGAGTAAAAATTAAGAGAAATCTAGATGAAGACTATGTCTAACCCTAACCCATGAATCTCCGTGAACCCTCCAAATACAGGTGGGAGACATTGAATCAAGCCCATCAAATTCATAATTCCAAAAATTACTAAATAAAAAAGGAAAGATAACACAAAATATGTATCGTCTTCTTATTATTTATAAAATTAAAAAAAAAAAAACAAGAAAAATATATATTTACCAATCTATGAACCCTAAACCCAGGAAAAGTACCAAATCAGAGGGGATCTTGGAAGAATACCTTTTGGGATAAGCTTCCACAATAAAAAATCCACATAAACCTGGGCACTGAGATGAATTGACAGACTTCACAATCTTCATTTTTTTTTCTTATACAACAAACAAGATCTATGCACGCCTTTTCAATTCAACCCTACAAAAAAGATCAAATCTTTTTTTTTTTTTTTTTTAAATCCAACAACTACCAAACAAGCCTCTCAGCTTCTACCTCAATAGAATTTTTGCATTGTTTGTGGGGGGTATACGGATTCTGTGTAGAGGTAGTGAGGCATGAGCAATAATGAATAAAGGGGGAAAACGCGTAATTTTTTCTTGTTTGTTTAGAGAGAGAAGGAGAAATGTAAATATTGGATTAAGATTGTAATTTATAGACAAGGGATTTGGGTGGGTGGGTGGGTGGGGGGTTGAAGCTAAGCCTGCACTGAATAATGGTGGGCTAAATGCAATTTGGACTTTGTTAAGTTGGGTTTTTTTATAGCAACTACACCCCTCAACTATGAATATTCGTAACATTCATCCTTGCGGTGTCGAATTCGACATAATCTTCTGGATTCCATAGAATGTTCTCTAGTTTGTATTTGTTTGGTGCAAAAATGCAGATTCTGATGCAACACAATCTGATATTTACAAGTTAAGAGACACATCATTTGATCATTTTGCTTCAAAATGTGGAGCTCGAATGGAGTAAAACGCGTATAAACTGAAGAATATTCCACATAATCTAGAAGATTCCACTAAAATTGATACTATAAGGATGAATGTGTAAAAAGATTCATAATTGATAGAAGTATTTGTAATTACCCAAACATTAGGGATTTTTTTGTAATTTAACATTTACCTCGGATGATGGCCGTAATTTTTTATTTTTTTTATGGTAATTGGTGGCGTTTAGTAATGGTCAACTGCAGTTGTTAATTAACTAGGAAACTTCGTTTCACACTTCGTATAGCATTTGAAGCTGAACAATTTCTTATTTTTATTTATCTTAGTAAGATAATCATAATATAATGAAATAGTATATTTATATTAAAAAACATTAATTTATAATATATATAGTTAGGTCAACGTGAATATAGATTTCAGACAAAAGTATAGACAAACAAAAGATAATGCAAGGCATGAGCTGGATAGAAAGATTGATATTCTATGATGTCTGTGGCTATTGTAAAGATAAAATTGTACCATCCCATATACATGATATCTATTTTTTGTTCCAATTATTTCTAATTACCTTTATTTTTATTTTTTGAGTTTATATCAAAATATTTTTACACTATTAAATATTAAAAAAAATTAATGTTACCTGCAAATACTTATTAGTTTTTTTAAACACATTTTGTTTAATAAATAACTTCATAATTATTTTCAGTTATTAAGGTTGTCAATTATGATAAGATATGGAATTAATTTTACAGTGTTTGATAGGTTATCTATATTATATTATATTATATTGTATAAATATAAGAGAAGGTGTTTTTGGTTGGTGAACCATTCAGACTTTTTGATTGGATTTTGAAAGTCATATTAACGTGTTGACTAATCTTTCATTAACTTTTAATTAACTAATTGATTTCTTAAAAATTAAATCTACAGTCGTATATGTGAACTCGGTGAATTAGTGTAAATCGAGCTGGATAAATCATGTACAACGAGCTCGAGTGATAATTAATACTCGTACATAAAATGATTGATGGAGTCAGTTTCGCAAAATTAGGCCAAACTCCCCATACTGGGTTTATTAAATAGTATAAAAACAAAATGTATGGGCAAAAGAAATTTATTGGGTCGACCCAATGTGTGCAAAGACAAGGCCTCTTAAAAAGCTCGCTCGAAGAAAACACGTTAGTATCAAACAAATGTCAAGCTCGCTAAAACGATGCCCTTGGGATATGAGGGTAGCTCGCTCGTCGGCTCATCCGAACATGCAAGAAATGGAGTGGGTAGGTAGAGAGCTGAATGACAGTCACTGGAAGAAGAAGATTCGAAGATATTCTACCTAAATAAATTAGGAAAACATGTAAATTATGATCGGTAATTGAGCGATCGATCAATTTAGTCGGACGAATAAAGAGAATCTAAATTATGAAATGTATTAGACCCTATTACGATACAATTTAGCATCAATAATATACTCCCTTTTCAAATTAAATCTTTCTCTCTTGTTTTTTTTTTTTTTTTTTTTCCGATCAATTAGTTCGTCTTCTTCGACTAAATACGGATGCCGGCCATACCCTCTTGAGGGTATGTTAGACTCGACCACATTACTGTAATTAATTTATTCACTTTATGGCCTTTTTTTCTTTTTGTCACAAAATATCTATTATTTATTAAAAAAAAAAAAAGAAAACTTGTATTTTTTGTTTATTTTTTTAATAGTGAAAATGAATTATATACGTGGCACTTGAGTTGCAATAATGGAAGAGAGAGTAAAAGTGTAGACAAGTAGTCCACGCTTCTATCAAATATCAATGGCGTTTTTTTGTTGGTTCTCAGTGTCTTATCTTCCAACCTAAAGGGGACCTCTCCAAACAGGCCCCCATAACTTGAAACCCTTTTCAAGATTTTTTTTTTTTTTTTATTTATTGAAAAGTTGATTGGCTTTTTACATGCTGTGGTGCTTATTCATTGGTCAATGAAATTTTTCTTATATATACATAAGTGCTTCTCTCTAAAGAAAACCCCTGCATGTTTTTTTCATTTGCTTTGAATGTAAACTTATAAGTGGCCACAAAAAGTTTGATTCAATAATCAGCTTATTTTAATCCGAAATAAAAAAATTGGGTGTTGTTTCACTAATTAATGTCTAATCTAGTCAATAAGCAAAATTAAGTTATTAAATTAGCTGTGATCATATCATGGTTTATATGTCATGCTTTTATTGTCTTGCATGTGGAATAATAATGCATTATTGTATTCTTTTTATACATATAACTATATAAGTAGTGCAAGTGCTTTTGTGCCTCCATGGATTGAGAATCTGTATCTTCTACTTTTAAGTTAATTTGGAAAGTGATTATTCATCACAAGGATACAAGCCACTCCCAACTTATTAACTTGTTTGTCCAAAACTGAGTAGATGCATGCACTCTCACTGTCTTGTTTAGTGGCGAAACCAGTATAGGGTTAGGGGGTCATGGCCCCCAAACATTTTTCAAATTTCTATTATTTTAAAATTACAATCAAATATATATTCTGTTTTTTTTTGGGAAATAATGAAAAGAAATACCATGATAAAATATCATAAATGAAAAAAGAAGAAATAAACCTAGATCTTGAGATAACAAATTAGCCATGATAATAACAATTATTTAAGGCTAAAAGAAATAAAATAATAATATAATCAAAGATTCTTTAATAAGGGCCCATATATACCGATATTCCAAAGCACTTTTTCAACTTTCTCCCCTGAGATCGGCCCATAAGGCTAAAATGGTAACAAACACAACAATTTATAAAATTATTAAAGTGCATTATTATTAGGATGAACACCCGACCATTTTTTAATTTTTTTTTATTATTAAAAGTGATTACTGTGGTCATCATGTGGACATAGTATAATATAGTATTAACTATTAACTTAAACCTTTAGCTAAACTTATAAGCTGTTAATAAAAAAAATATAAGATATTTAATTGTTTATAAGATTTTATAAATTATTTGGTAATTTTTTTGACAAAGATCTGTTTTATTTATAATAAGCCGTTGGAGATTTTTTTTTTAAGTATTTATATCCCACATTTTTACATAATATCTTATCAACTTATCAAATGTAAGAATTTATCAGTTATATAAAATAGGCTTAGACGCTAATAAATTAGCGTTTGCAATACCCAAAATAAATCCTATCGTTTAATATTTTGGATAGCTTAAAATTTTGAAATTCAATTTATTTCCTACCTTTTCAAATTTGAATTAAAACATGAAAATAGTTCACGTGCCTTTAGGGGACACGACTCATTAATAGTAGATTAGTTTATATCTCTACCTGCAGCTTAAATTAAAGTCAAAAGGTGAGTGTGTTTATGGAGTGCTTAAGCAAAAGTTAACTATAATTAATTACTAGTAATTAAAAATTAATTGGGGTTAGATCTGGAATTAGGGTCCTCAGGGCTCAGATATCACCTGATCTTTGGATTCAGGTATATTCTTCCCCTGGAGTATGCAGTATATATACATACACGAGGAACTTCCATAGTAGTTTCCCGCAAACTGGAGGACACGTGTAATTCTTTAAATTTGGGCTTTTTCTGGGCCCGATACTATGTTTGAATTTAGATGTGCAGGCCCGTAATTTGTAGTTGGATTTTGGGTCAAATGGATTAATTTTAACGCAGCCCATTAACCCCTGAGACGGCCCAACAATTCAAGCCCAATAATACAGTAGGCGCACCTATTCGGTCAAACTGTCCACTCAAGGTATTTTGCCTCCGCTTCTCTTCTAAGTCCTACTTTTTGATATTTCTTCTCGTTCGCTTCTGATTGTACCACTGCATTGAATGAACCCTGACATTTTTCGGCGACGCACCCGTTTGACTATGATGATCGTTGTATTTTGTACTCTAAACCAGAGACAACTTCTATTTTCTACTTATATAGTAAATTGTTTTGTGAGAGACATATATATAACACACACACAATTTCTTTTTAGTTTCAAGTCTTTGTTCTTTGGTGCTGAGTTGTTGGAGTCACCATTGGTGGGTTCTGGATGAGCGAAAAATGACAAAGGCAACTGAACCGTTAATAACAGAAAGCTAAGACCCTTCATTTGTCGAAGAGGTGCTACTCATAACTCCTCTATTTGTGTTCATTTCGTTCATATTGTTCTTTTCTAGTTCTTAGTCGATCTGTAATCCAAACTCGATATACCCTTTCTCCCATAGGAGATCCTTGTAATGCTACCAATGAATAAGTAAATAATTTAGGAATTTATTTTCCTATTGAAACAATCAATTTTATTTACAGGAAGATATTTAGGAACTTAATTTAGGATGAATGAAAGTAGGTCTCGTGGATGACACGTTCTTCATAATTTTTCATCCCAATTTTCTCTTATCTTGTTTGTTTGTTTGTTTGTTTGATTTATGTACACATTAGGCCTGCATAAAATATCAAAATTAAGGATTGATTAATTATAAGCTCCATAACAGAAGTCACCACTTTCTAGAATATAATATAATTATAACATAATTAATCATGCTATAAGGCGTGCCATCAACGCTACAGCCAATTATCAGGAACACACATTACAAACTCTTAATTTAAAATATATAAAATAAAAAATAAAAAGTCAATTCATTGCACTCAATTCCTCTTTCAATGGACAACGAACAACATCACCCTCATTGGTTCACTATGAGCCCGATACTAGTCGGCTTGTTCGGCGTTTTGGCCGGAGTTATAGTAGTCGCAATTTGTCACTGCATAATCACGAAATGCAATACTACGCAAAGGTCAAACGCGACTTTGAGTAGCAACAACCATGCAAGCATGTCTAGTGTTAGTAGTAGCACGATTATGGCGCATTCGACTATACGAGTGATTGTGGAATCCAAGGATTCGAAAGAGAGTGTTAGAGATGATGTGTGCGCAATATGCTTAGGCGAATTCAGACAAGGGGAACGCGTTCGAGTACTGCGCGAGTGTGCGCATATATTCCACGTGTCATGTGTTGATAAGTGGCTGGGGAATCACCCTAATTGTCCCTTGTGCCGTGCATGTGCCGTTCCTTCTCTGTCACATTTTAATGGGGTTTTTTGCAAGAACCACCCTTGTGTAATCTCTAATTGCTGAAAAACCCCTCGTGTTAAAAAAATTAGCAAGGACCCCCCTATGAAAGTTAGTCAAAGCCAATAAGGCCCCTAACATCTTATCGTGTTCTGCACGCGCACATTGTGCGGCTGGGCTGCATATTTTGACCTGAAAAGATATAAATACCCTTTAAATAAAAAGTGGAAAATTACATATTGGCCCCAAAATTTTCATAACCCCAAATTGAAACTTTAAGAATTTTCAATTCAGCCCTTGACAATTTCTAAAACGCCCTCTCTCCAAATCATCTCATCCCCAATCAAACTCTCCACAATTTTCACGCAAAACACACACACACACAATGCTTCCTGATGGTGCCCCCTTTGCAAATATATTTTTTTTCCTGCCAAATGTTTGGAAGGTACCTCACCAAAACAACCCACTCCCAAATCTGCCTTTCCTCTGTTCCATCTCTCTCGAGAAACTCCGACCACTTCAACCGGCGACATATTCCACAGTTTCGTCGACGAAGAAGGGGCACGAGCATGTTGAGTATGGGGCGGCGGCGGCGGGTGGGTATGGTGACGGGGGCAGCGTATGGGGGCAGAGTATGGGGCGGGGGCAGCGGCGGATGAAGGTAATGGCGGTTGGGTATGGTGGTGACGGCTAACACCGGCAGAGTATGGGGCGGCGGCGGCGGGTGGAGGTAATGGAGGTTGGGTATGGTGGTGGAAGATTGAAGGAAGAAGGGGAACAACAAAAATGGCTTATTTGTTGATTGTTGAAGAAGAATTATTTTGGGTGGGGGTGGGTCAACGGGGACAGGAAGACTCTTCTCTATATTTCTTGTTTTTTTTTTCACGAATTTTCAATTGGATTTTCGGTATATTGCAAGGTTAATTTTGTCATTTCATTTAAGTCAGCAACTAAATCTGATAAAAAGGGCTGTGTGCTATACAAAACCAAACATAAGGGGGTATTTGCTAATTATTTTATCATGAGGGCTTTTATGCCAATTAGGAATAACACAGGGGGGTCTGTGCTATTAGCTCCATTTTAATGCAGATTTCTCCCCGGCGCAAATGAACATCAATGTAGTGTGAATAAATTATAAATATTAATATAGTGCAAATTAAGTTCTTTCTAATTAATTTTTCTAGTGCTTCTTTTGGTGAGATTTTCCTTTTTTTTTATTTAATTTTTTTTATAAATAAAATAACTCAAATATTAGTGTAAATACAAAAAAATGGTCATTAGCACAAAGAATACGCAGACCCAAATTATTTGTAAATTGAATACAGAGAGGATGTATAGTGGAGGCCCAATATTTGTTGGGCCTAAAATCTTTGTAAGAAAACATTTCATTTTCTTTAATTAATTTGAAATTAATTAAATAATCAATAATGTATAATAAATTTTGGAACATATTAAATTTAGGAATATAAATTAAATTAAACTAAATTATTCGTGTTTGATCCATGATGACTAAAAGCATAAGTAAATTAACTTAGTTAGCTAAGTTGGAAACTATTTTCTTTTTCCTGAAAAAAAAAATAAAAAAATTGGACGCTGACTCGATTATGATTTATTGACATTAATATGAAATTACTAAAATTGTCAATTTGTGGTGCTATTTATTTATTTATTTTTTGAAAAATAGATAATATAGCTTAAATTATTGAGATAATAGAGCACTAATATTCCGCCGACAATCTAAAATCAAATCATTATGTCGAGGCTCCGACCAATTCATATATATATATAATTTTTTTTTCTTTATTACAGATAATTTTTTTCACCAACTCTTTTTGCCTTTCCCCTTTCTCCTTCTAATCTACGCTAAATCCTCGACGAATTCCTAATTACAAACCCCCAATTTTTCTTTTTCAAGAAACCCAAAACGGAAGGAAGTAGAAAAGAGTAATGAAACGAGCTCACATAAATCGAAAATGCTCGCTGCCAATTATCTCCGTTTCGATTTCTGCTGTGATACTGATTTTCATCTTCACTCTGTCCCACCCCAAACCCACCAATTCTTCTTTCCCATCTTCGAAATCAGTTGACTCCGCCGATTCCTCAGCCTCGCCGGAACTGCCGCGGTTTGCGTACTTCATCTCCGGCACAAGCGGCGACGGCGGGCGGCTGAAGCGGCTGCTTCAGGCGTTGTACCACCCGCGGAATTACTATCTGCTCCACCTGGATTTGGAGGCCTCCGACGCCGAAAGGCTTGACCTTGCCAAGTATGTCAAGTCTGAATCAGTAATTAAGGAGTTCAAGAATGTGATGGTTATGGGGAAGGGTAATTTGGCCACTCCCAAAGGTCCGACGACAATGGCGTCCACACTTCACGCGATTGCGATTCTGTTGAAGCGGGCGAAGCACTGGGACTGGTTCGTCAACATTGGAGCCTCTGATTATCCGCTTATGCCGCAGGATGGTCAGATTTTTAGCTCTTTTTGTTTGTGCATGCTACCTGTTTGATATATTGCCTGTGAGAGAATTCGAGTTCCGATGTGTCTGTTTGAATGCACGAATATGCGGTTCTCATCTTCGAATGCTGAACTTTGTATTTGTTTCTCGAAATCGTTTGTACAAGGTTGTCAGATTTTTAGCTCTTTTTTGTTTGTGTATGCTACCTGTTTGATATATTGCCTGTGAGAGAATTCGATTTCCGATGTGATTCTATACTAATGTAGTGGAAGTGTATGTTTGAATGCTGAACTATGTGTTTGTTTCTCGAAATCGTTTGTACAAGGTTGTCTGATTAGTGATTACGATATATCAAATTTGATTCTAACAATGTACAATCTTGTTTCGTTTGTTTCAGATATTCTGCACATATTCTCGTACTTGCCTAGGGATCTGAATTTCATCGAGCATAGTAGTGACTTGGGTTGGAAAGAGTGAGTGAGCCCTTTAATAAAAATGCCCTCAACTCGTCTAGACGAGTGTTTTCGTCTATCGAGATGCTGCTTCATTTGTTAATGTAGTTGTTATATACATATATATTTTTCTAAAAATACGCTCTTTTTTCGCTTTCATTTGCAGACAACAAAGAGCTAGGCCTATAATTATAGATCCTGGATTGTATCACTCGAAGAAATCCGGTGTGTTTTCGGCCAAAGAAAAACGATCGTTGCCCGTTTCTTTCAAGCTATTTTCAGGTAATCCTCAAACCTTTTTTTACTTATTGTCGTTGTTTCGACATTCAACGACTTTTTAGATTCCGAATACAGAATACATATAAAATCCGACCAAGCTTATGTTTTTCGTTTTCCATCTTTTTGTAGGGTCCGAAATGGTGGTTCTTTCAAGATCGTTTCTCGAGTTCTGCATATGGGGGTGGGATAATCTCCCGCGCACACTTCTAATGTACTACACGAATTTCCTGTCTTCATCCGAGGGCTACTTCCACACGGTAATCTGCAACCACAAACACTACCAGAAAACAACGGTCAACCACGATTTGCGTTACATGAAGTGGGACGAACCTCCGAAGGAACAGCCTATGAATCTGACCGTGCTAAATTTCGACAGCATGGTCAAAAGTGGGGCCCCCTTTGCTCACAAAATTTCTGAGGATGACTCTGTTCTGGATAAGATTGATAGGGAAGTATTGAAAAGATCCAAAGGGCGATTTACGCCCGGTGGGTGGTGTGTAGGAAGTGTTATTAACGGGGTGAAAGGGGATTCTTGTTTAGTTTATGGGAGTGGCGATGCAATTAGGCCTTCTTTGAGTTCGAAAAGATTGGAGAGACTTGTAGCTTTGCTTCTCGATTCCGATAATTTACGATCTAAACAGTGTAAATAATTTTGAAATGGCTTCGATTTTTAGTTCATCTTGTTGTATAAAAGTAATATATATGACGTCGTTATGTAAGTGTGATTGTCGGGCATCCGTTCAAAGATTGCATAGTAAAAGATAACAAATAACCTCAATAATTTCGATTATTAAAGAGATTTAAGAGTTATTCTGCATGAAAATAAAATGAAAAACGAACAACCTCACTTTAGAACAGAAATTTCAGAAATGTGTCACCCGAAAAAGTGGACGGTTCGGAAGAAAAGTGGAAATCAACGGCCAAGATCAAGAATCGAGAGTCTTCGGAAGGTTTGATCGGATTCGAGTGGGCTTAAGTACTGGGTTTCTGAATAGTCGGGCCGCCGTAGGGAATTTGGGTTAATGGGCTGAATTCCCAATAATTCAGTTGGGCCCAAAACCAAACAATAATACTTTGGTAAGAATATTTATGGTTTATCTTATTTATTTTGTTTTTTAGCTGCCTTTTGCTGTATTCCCTCCGCCAAACTCGGCCTTTTCTTTTCTCGATTATTATTCTTATTCCGAAAATGTAATGTAGATTACAGTACAGCACCATGTTTGAAATTGAGATTTCTGAGGATATCATGCAGTTGGTCCAAGAATTTATATGCATGCTTTCTGCTATAAATATTGAAATTGAATTTTAATTCCTTGATTATTGTTAAATTGAATTGTGATCATGGAGACGTGTACGTATATATATAATTATTAATTAATTAAAATCACAAGTTCGCTATTTTTAACGTGTTTACAACACTTTTGAAATG